CAGGTGCCCTCTGTACCCATTCAGCAGTTTCCTACTGAAGACTGGAGTGCTCAGCCTGCCACTGAAGACTGGTCTGCAGCCCCCACTGCTCAGGCTACTGAATGGGTAGGAACAACCACTGAGTGGTCCTAAGCTGTTCTTCCACAAATTCTTAACAGAACGGAAATAAGGTTGATGGAAAATAAACAGTTTCTAAAAAAAAGAATTGGGAGGGATAACTAGGCCGTGGAGGACCTCCTAAGAAGCAAGAGGTCCCAGCCCCACACGGAGTTCCCCAGCCCAGGGCATCAGAGCCTGAAAGGTAAGTCCCTTACATCGGGCTGTGAAAACCAGCACTAATTGTGTCTGAGAAAGACAAGAGACTGCTAGAATGAAGGTGCTGCAGGTCTTAAAGGGGCCCACACAGGACTCACTTAACTCGGAGTTGCAGTGCAGCAGTCGTAGCTGGGATAGCTCTCTCCCAGACAAAAGTGCTGGCCACTGTTCCTCTGTTGATCCTCACCCCACCCAAGTGGCAGGTGCGGTCAAGTGCCAAGTCTGAACTCTCCATTAATCTGGCTAACGCTCTTCACTTCACTCTGATGATTCCCCGAGACCCTGCCCCACCCAAGTTATGACCCTGGCCCGAACCCCTTTCAGCGGCTGTTCCACACAAGCAGCTAAAATGGCATGCACTGTGGAATTTTCTAAGGTCTCTCAAAAATCCACAAACCCCAAACAAGCAGCAGTTGGTCTCAGCATTCTCCATACTTCTTCCCAGGGAGCCCCAAGCCTACCACAGGAGGCTACCAACTACAGGTCAGTTTTCAGCTCCTAATAGGTAGCCCCTAGGCAGACACAGGCAGAAGTTGACATGGGCCTGCACTAGAGTCCTTCCCAAGAGTCCCAAGAACCAACATACCTGGTGGCCAGGTTCGACCACATCAGAGCACCACCGAACTACCTCCATAAACAACACACACAAAGAGAAGACTCAGCAGGCAGCAGAACCCTGCTAAAGCAAATATTGCTCTGTGGGGTCAACCACTGCACAACAGCTGGTCCACTGTAGTCATGGCCAGTCCTCATAGCCAGTTATCCTGAGGGTCAATCTCACACGCTGATGTGCCAACAACAATCAAGGCCAAACTACAACAGGAAATGATACACAAAACCCGCACAAGGGAGCACCCTGCTCAGGTGACCAGGAAGTCTGCACCACAGGACCTGAAAGGACACCTACTACTTAAGGCCACTCTGTCAACTGGGAGATGTAGCAGCTCTACCTAATACATACAAACAGAGGGAAGCAGCCAAAATAAGGAGAAAAAGAAACATGTCCCAAATGAAAGAACTGGACAAAACTCCAGAAAAATAATTAAATGAAATGAAGGCCAGCAATGTACCAGATTGAGTTCAAAACACTGCTAATAAGAATGCTCCATGAATTTAAAGGAAGAATAGATAATCTCAGTGTGAACTTCAACAAAGAGATAGGAAACATAAAAAAAGAGTTAAAAAATATAAAAAAAAGAACCAGTCAGAAATAAAGAATACCATAACTGAAATGAAAAGTACATTACATAGAATCAACAGCAGATTAGAAAAACCAGAGGACTGAATCAGCAACATGGAAGAAAAGGTTGTGGAAAACAACCCATTAGAACAGCAAAAAGAAGAAAAAAAAATTAAGGATAGTTGAAGCCAGTGGTCGCCAACTGGTGGTCCGTGGACCACTGGTGGTCTGTGAGGTCCAAAAGGTTGGCGACCACAGGTTTAAGGAAACCTTTGGAGCAGCGGTCACCAAACGGTGGTCCACAGACCACTGGTGATCCATGAGGTCCGAAAAGTTGGTGACTGCTGGTTGAAGGGACCTCTTGGACAATGTCAAGCATATTAACATTCGCATTATGGGGGTGCCAGAAGGAGAAGAGAGAGATCAAGAGATGGAAAGCCTATTTGAATAAATAATGACTGAAAACTCCACTAACCTGGCAAAAATAAGGTAGTTATAAAAGGCCAGAAAGTGCAGAGACTCCAAAACAATATCAGCCGAAAGAGGCCCATATGAAGATATCATAATTAAAATGGCAAAGTTTAAAGACAATCTTAAAAGCAGCAAGAGAAAGACAGCTACTTATAAAGCAACTCCCATAAGATGTCAGCTGATTACTCAACAGAAACTTTGCAGGCCAGCAAGGACTGGCAGGAAATATTCAAAAGGATGAAAAGCAAGGACTTACAACCAAGATTACACTAGGAAATATTCAGTGATGAAAAGCAAGAACCTACAACCAAGGTTACTCTATCCAGAGCAAGGTTATCATCTAGAATTGAGGGTAAGCTAAAGAGTTTCCCAGCTAAAATAAACCTAAAAAAATCCATTACCACCAAACCAGCATTATAGGAAATATTAAAAGGGACTTCAAGAGAAAAACAATATGAAATATATGAATATGAAAATAAGTAAAGAAAAAATTCTCACTAACAAAGGCAAACATAATAAAAGCAGATCAACCAACTATAAAGCTAACACAAAGGTTTAAAGGCAATTATGTATAATTACAACAATAAATTAAGGGATACACTTAAAACACACAAAAAAGAAATATTAAAAATATGACAAAAACATAAATATGGGGGAAGAGAATAAAAATGGTAGGCATTTTTTGAATGTTTTCAAACTTAAGTGACCATCAACTTAAAACAGACTGTTACAAACTAGTATATACGAAGCACACAGTAACCAAAAACCAAAAATCTACAAAGATTTATACAAAAAGAGAAAGGAATCTAAAACAACACTACACAAAGTCATCAACATACAAGAGAAGAGAGTAAGAGAATAAGGCAGCAATAGAGAGATACAAAAACAATAATAAAATGTCAATAACCACATGCTTACTTTAAATGTAATTAATTACTTTAAATGTAAATGTACTAAATGCTCCAATCAAAAGATATAGGGTGAGTAAAGGGATAAAAAAATCAAAAAAACAAAACAAAACACAAGACCCATACATATATGATGCCTATAAGAGACCCTTTTCAGATAAAAAAACACTTAGCCTGTAAGTAAAGGAATGGAAAAAGACACTTTCAAACAAAGGTTGTAACAAGAGACAAAAAAGGACATTTCATAATGATAAAGGAACCAATTCAATAGGAGGATATAACTTTTAAACATTTTACGTACCCATCATAGGTGCTGAGCACCTAAGTATGTAAAGCAAATATTGATAGAACTAATGGGAGCGATCAACAAGTAATACAATTATTGCAGGGGACTTTAACACCCATTGATATCAATGGACTGACT